AATTGAGAGCGCAACGTGCTGAGGCCGAATCGCAATTAGTGGTAATTGAAGAGGATCGCAGGAAGGAGGCAGATCGCACAAAGGTGGAGACGGCGAGGCGTGTCGCCCACTGTCTCAAGGGCTACGCCCACTGGGAAGTGGCGGCGCAGGAGAAACTCACACTGCGTGAGTTTGAACTTCGCGCGGCCGGGTTGTTGTCAGGCGACAGCAGGAGTCGGCGGAAGGTAGCAAAGAAGCTCGACGCTTTTCTGTCGAAGGCGCGGGATACCATGTCCGCCCTCGAAGTGGAGGTGTCCCCGGCGTTGCAGCGATTAGGACTGCGAAGTCGAGCGGAAGACTGGCAGGGTAGGGAGTTAGTGCGCGGCAGTCCGTCGCGCAGGAGACGTAGCACAGGTTCCGCGGAGTGTAGTGTAGCGTGGTTCCGTGCAAGCGTGTAGCGTAGTGCAGTGTAGTGCTAGTTAGGACTTAGAAGGTATAAAATAGTTCAAGGCGTTTTGCCTTGGGTTCTTTCCCATCAGAAGTGCTGATCAGGAACCCATTTCCTTTGCGTGTTTGTGTCCTTGAGTTCTGTCACCACGCACGAGGAGTTACAACTTAGCGTTCCGCATTTTGTAGCTGAAGGCCTTCGGCCGAATGTTCAGAGCTAGTACATTGGTTAGAGACTTGAGTAGTTCGGATTTGCACCTGCGGGTGACTGCCGATGCTTAGAGCCAGTGACTAGTTAGATACTTGAACAGTTTCGCCCCTACCCCTTCGAGTGTTTCTTTCTGATTGTACTCCTTGGGATTTTTCCCCTGAATGCCAAAGTGAAGTTTTGCTACTTCTTGAAAGCCTTGGTTGTAAATTCAGGTTACGCTGCAGCAGGTGCCTTGAGGGTAACCCCTGTAGTATTTCTGGGAATGACAAGTGCCTGAGAATTCAAACTCTTCAATAGACTGTTGTTGTGTTACTGGAATGTTTCTCAGTGAGTCCTTCAGTGCGGACCTGTGTTCTCTACGCGTTTTGTGAGTTGAGAGTGTTGTTCACCGCGTCTGAGTGACTTCGATCCGAAGTAGGCAGTCCAAACCGGGTTTCCTACACTAGCAGCAAGCTAGTGGAAGTGTTGTAAAAGCCGGAGTTGGAAGTCACTACCCGCAGCTTCGCAGAGTGTACTCTTGAGAGACTTTCCCCCCTGAAATCTTGAAGTAGAGGTCCTAACGGATCTCTGGGTTGTGTTTCTGTAGTTTCAGGTGTGTGTGTGTGTGTGTTACGCTGCACTGTGCGACCTCCGAGTGCGCTCCGAGTGGGCACTTGCAGTATTTCTGGGAGTGACAGTCGCCTGAGAATTCAAACTCCTCAATAATCTGTTAAACGTGACACTTTGTACCCTGTGTGTTCCCCTGTCCCTGTGGGTTCGACCTTTCTACCACTATATTGCAGTTTTAGCCTTTAGTGGGTTATTACACTACTTTATACACTCTACAATCCTAACTACGGAACACTCTACTCTAAGCTTCATCTGCTACGGTGCAAGCCGCGAACAGATCCTACACTTGAGAGTCGGCGGCTGCCTTCCCCTCTAACTTACGACCTAAATCTAAGTTCGTCTACAGAAGCTTAAGGTGTAGGAGACGGCAGGAACCTTGTTAATCACAGGCGCACAGCCCACCTTCGATTGATGGAGAAAATGACAAGGGGATATAAATAACTCCCGCAAGAGCTCAAGACACATAGAATAGCCCTATGCGAGCTGCACGAAGATGATCAATATGCCCCAAATGTTTATACAGCGGAGCGGCAGTGCTGGGCAAAATTTGGAATAAGACTAAGACGAAGGAAGAATCGGGAGCAGTGAAAGAGCAGGAAGATCAACAATCGTACGAGTTCCCTGTACCGAAGGGGAACATATTGCTGTGAAGGACATGAAACACATCAGTTTCATTGGACATTCCATCAAATATCGACACGTTGTCATTAGATTTAGAGTGTGCTCAACTAGCTCAACGATTTGTAATGAGGTCCGGTATACTTGCAGCTACCTCTTTCTCTGGAAGCCGATTCTTGCTCTACATTTGGATGACAGATATGTTGGACGCGTATTCATATATACTGGCTTGATTTAAGCTCAGATCCCTTTGAGAGTAGCATGGTGAGAATCATGTGAGAGTCAGGATGGGTTGGCAGGGCAGTCATAAGCTACGCTTAATTTTCTGCCAATCAGAGCAAGATTTTTTCTTATATTATTCAATCGTAGATCAATCAAAACCGTACATGAAATTTTCATTTCATACGGCTCCTCAGTGGTTATTTAAATATAAAAAATATTTTTTTTTTTACCAACGAGATTCTGTTTGCTATAAAATAAAAGCTTATGAATATATCTTAATTTTTACAATTTTGGCTAGCGCTAACTTTACATTAAAAAAATTTATATTGTAAGTATCCAACGTCAATCATACAATTAGCAAGTGGATTGCAAATTGAATCTACTTTATGGTTTCTTATTTGCATATATAAGATCTTTCTTCTACTTTCTGATCATCAGACATGATCATCTGACACAATGTGAGATGATGTTGAGATCCGGTGCATACAACGCACTGCAACAAAACTTGGAGATTCATTCTGTCTTACGGACCGGTCTCTCGTTGTGTTTTCCATTTAAGAATAGCTCGCTATGAATCATTCTTCCCGGTAAAAATTATTAAAATGATAAATCATAAGGACATTCATGTTGTCCACCAGCTCGTGTTTGCATGAGATGGTTGAAAGATGCCCATATTGCACTACGGCGTGCATTTAATTTCCTCGTTTCACTATAGGAGATTTATAACTTTTACTTCCGTAATATAAGATTCTTGTGTCTAAAAGAAATGTGAAATCAAGATAAAGGATAGTCAAGAAGGTATGATAAATCCTCATTTATATTTCCTTTTTTCTTGATACATTCTGATTGCTCATACATATATGTATTATAGCTAAAATATATATCTCGAAATATAAACATGTGCCCGTAGTTTATCTCTTTGTTAGTTTAGATTTAGATGCATAGGAGCTATAAACATAAAACTTTGAGGATGGAAAGAAATTTACAAGGAGATTTCGTTCTTTCTTCCCATAACTTCAGTGCTTAGCAAAAGAAACTAGACGGATATCATTCACTATAGCTTATACTTGGTTGAAATTTGACAAAAGTCCAAGAAAGTCTATTTATAATATAAGATTTTTTTAGCTAAATTTTTCTTGCTTAAATGATAAAGAAATAGATGCTCATATTTCCAATAATTTAGGTTTGTCTCCAAAAAATCACAATCTCTTTCAAATGCATAAATTAAGTACTGTAATCTTGCATCAGTAAAAAGACTGGTAGATGGTAATTAGATCAACCCCGTGGAAACCAAAAGGTCAAAAAGGTTGAAACCTGAATTGTGTTTTTAAACCTTTTTGAAAAACACAATGCACGTCAAAAATTTACTGACAAGTGAAAAAATCAACCCAGATAGTATCAAGAGCACTAGAAAGATGACTAAATATATACCTAATATAATAACATAAATCAAAAGGAAATTTTAGCGGGCTGGGACGACGCCTGAGAGATTCGAACTCTCGCGGGGAGACCCCATGTACTTAGCAGGCACACGCCTTAATCACTCGGCCAAAGCGTCCAAGTCATAATGATTTGTACCGTTCAATTTTTGATATATATTATTTCTCATAATTATTAAATTCAATAAATATAAAATAATTTTGATGAAATTAATACTCTGGTTACAGGGTATTTTGGTTTTGATATTGTTATAGTTTTATCTTACCGTAACTTTGAAATATTATTAAGTATAAGATATTATTATTAAGTATATATCAAGTAGAAGATAATATCTATCTAAGGGTATCACAGATTTTTTACAAGACGGTTGATTCTCTACAATTGGATAAGCTATTTAAAGTAATTTGGATATTATAAAAACTTAAATAGGTGTTATCTTGAACTTTCTCAAAGCTTAAACATGACGTATAACAACGTATAAAATTGTTTGCTGATTGTAATGCTCTGTGTTAGGGAATGCATTTTCAAATAACAAGATCTTGTTTGTTGATAGCTAGGGTAAAAATGAGCATATTTTGGATGGTTTTTTGCAAGATCATGTTATATTAAGTAACATGATGGTATTTCAAATAACACGATCTATCATATTTACCCTAGCTTTTGTTAAATATTTTGAGATGCACTAGATTGATATGTTTAGAATCTCACACATCATATGAAATCACCTCATTCCTTCAATTTGAAAATATTTGAAGCTGAACTGCTGTGCTTAATCCAAAGTTAGCAATAAATTGATCTGAGTATTGCACGCACTTCTTTCATAAAGAAGTTTAAACTGGAAGTTTGCGTATGCAGACTAATACAGTACGAAATTCTAATTCCAGTTCGCTCAAAAGTTGACCTCTCCAAAGTTCGCTCACAAAACTCAACAGATTTCAAGCTCAGTCTCTATACAGCGCAGAGACACGGCAGATTTATGAAAATCTGGATCATCCTCGGATAACCCGGTGGGATTGGTCATACGAAGGCTATAGAAGCAGGATATTGTCTGTTGTAAATGAGCTGACTGTTATATGACAACATGTGATGGTGTGATCATTGTCTCTAACGTGATCATTGTCATTAGACTTTCACGGAGAGAGTTAGTGATTGACTGCATGAATCTTGAGCAATATACGATCGACAACCCAGCACAATTCCTTTGGTCCACAAATCAGGCACTACTAGTCCTCCAGGACCGAGTGTCATTATGAAGCGTAATTGGTCTAGTGTGGTGAAGAAATTGAAATAACTACCGAATTGTCAACCCACCCTGACTCTGAGGTCACACTCACCATAATACTCTCACTTACTCCGGGACTGCCAACCCTGACTCTCAACTGCCTTCAGTCTCAGACCACGCCTACCGTTGTACTCTCGTCCATCTGAATCCTACTCGAGCCTTTATAAGCATCGTACTTTCACCATATTCGTCATCAGCATCGAAGGGCAAGAATCAACTTGAATAGCACGAAGCGGCTGGAAACAAAGCAGAAGTTTTTAAGGAAGGACAGATCCAGTTGAGCATACTGTGAAGAGAATGACGAAGCATCCATCAGTGATGGAGGTTCCAGCGAAGTTGCTGAGTTTCATGTTCTTATCAGCGATATGCTTACCTTCGGTGCTGGGAGGTCGTTTCTTCCTTCCATCGCTGCCGCCTCTCCCATCGCTTCCTACTCGTCTTCCATCGCTGCCTCCTCTCCCAACTCTTTCCATTCATCTTCCTTCGTTGCCTCCTCTTCCAACTCATCTCCCGACGCTGCCGCCTCTTCCGAGCCTGCCACCTCTGCCCACTCTTCCTCCTACTCATCTCCCGACGCTGCCACCTCTCCCAGCCCATCTTCCAAGCCTGCCACCTCTGCCCACTCTGCCCACTCATCTTCCAACTCTGCCACCTCTCCCCGCCCATCTTCCGAGCCTTCCTCCTCTTTCCACTGTTCTTTCTCATCTCCCAAAGCCTCCTCCGTTCCCCCATGTTCCTTCCCATGGTTCAGCGCCATCTCCTCTTCATTCTATCTCCAGTTCTCCTACTCCTGCGGCTTCTTAAACTCCTCCTCCTCCTCAATCTAAAGCACCGTCTCTAGCTCATTCCTCTTGATTTGAGTCGAACTTTCGCCAATAGACTCTTGGCATGGTCAAACAACATTGGGACACACTCCATTTTTCAGCAACGGGTGATCTACCTGTCTTCTGGTTTTACAGCAACAATTTCTATTTCACAGCCTTTGGATGCCATCTTCTTCAGTCTCGTCCATCGTGGACTGCTCGCTTCGAACATAAAAGTGCCAGCCGTCTCCAACACCTGCCGTTTCTATGGAGGGACTCTAGGACGACAATAATTTGGGGATTTGTTTCATGTGCCGATGTATCCCACTGCAATATGTGTCCTACACAATTTACTGCTCTTTCAAGGCACCCAGCATGCAATGTATTCGAAGCACGCTGTACATTGCCGACACTCGTGTAGCAGGATGTAGATCGGCGCCTACCCTACCTCTCGGGACTTGGTCAGAGGCAAACTTCAGTTCTTTGCAGAAAAAGAGTGCAAAAACATGTGACTGCAAATTTGTCATAAGTGAAAATGAAATAATATGTCTCCCGAAGAAAAATATAAACTGTTCGGTACGAATTTTGATCAAGCAATAAAGACCACAATGTTCTTTACAATTCCTTCTGATGTTCGTACATGCTGTATACACTGTCGTCGATTCCATTCGAGTCTTTTGTGCGGTGAGTGTTGAATTTCGGGACTGAAGCAATCCATAGCTGTTTTGAGGTTGAAGCGACAATAAATCTCCTCAACTTTTTATGGAAAAGTGGCCCATTTAACTCGTACGAGAAGCACTGAAACTTACAAATCGATACATTCCGATTCCGGTGGCAAGAATATAAATTTTAAACGAGCAATGAACAAATTACTGCCAATTAATAGTGGTGCCCCTTTATTATTGCGTATCAAGTGTATCGTCTTGCATATTTTATTTAAGGACATATAACTGTTCTAAATTGCATATCAGATGCATTTCAGATTCTCTAAAGCGTTGGAGACTGTATAAATCTTCCATCTATTTTTCTAAGGTTCGAATGCTCAAATTTTAGTTTCTGAAATGAGAGACCTGACTACACAGTTGCCTAGAGTGGTATGACAGAAACATGATTTCAAATAGTTCAAAGCACACGATGCTATAACCTTCGGAGCTGTAAAACTCATATCTAGAGGATACTATAGAATGATCAGAAGAGAGAAATATTGCTGCAATATCTGAAACACCCTCTCTTTCTACGCTGTGCTTGAAGAAATGCGTTTCTTGGTATTTGTGCAGTTTTTCCGGATTATTTAAACATAACAACCGCCCAATATGCGTTGCGTTGTTTTATTCTACGAACGATTCCGATTCTTGCCTTTATTCATCTGAGGATTCCATGTTTGCGTCAGCAGCTCCAGATTAGACAACATATACCACGTATGTCAAACCAGTTAATCAACGAGCAAACAGACTGCGTCAGTTCTATAATCTCTAATAAGAATTCACCACATTAGTCCTTTGAGTCTCCAAATAAAAACAGAAGTGAAAAATTCATGTAAGAAACAAAGCCAAAGAGGACAACAATTAAAAACACAGGTCTTGACTTTCAACCTTATCCCTGATGTTATGAAGAAGATACCGCACGTTATAGACCACCCTCCTCAATAAATAATAATCAAATTTTACCAGTCAACATTACAGACTCATGGCAACTCCATACACAGAAATCTGATTTTTCAAGCTATTCTTCAAACAACCAAGCCTCATAAGCATAAAACGAAAGGGTTTTCAAAGTTTCTAACGGTACACAAAATCTTAATTGTACCTCAAGTGCAATCCACTCACGAGAGAGTTGAAACTCCTAAGACCCAGCTCTTTATTTTAAATTATATGTGGAATGGTGAACAAAACACACCGAAGAGAGAAACAATACTTAAATAAGGTTCACATATTTTAAATAATTTCCGATTGTCAACGTGGTTTTCATTGGTTGATCAAAAGATAGTATCTAGCTGGTTATAAAGTTTGTCTGAAACGCGTGCGTGCTTCGAATAAGCGTCAATGTCAATAATACAATTAGGAAGTGGAATTGTAAATACTCAATCTACTTTATGGCTTTATATTTGCATATATTTTCATCTTTCTTCTACTTTCGGATCATCAGACATGATCATCAGACATAATCCGATGTGCATGCAACGCACTGCAACAATACATGGAGATTGATTCTGACACACGGACCGGACTCTCGTTGTGTTTTCCATTTGAGAATAGCTCGATATGAATCATTCTTCCCGGTAAAATTTATTCAAATGATAATTCATAAGGACATTCATGTTGTCCACCAGCTTTCGTTGGGATGAGTTGGTTGAAAGATGTCCATATTGCACTTCGGTGTGCATTAATTTTCTCGTTTCACTATCTCAAATTTATAACTTTTACTTCCGTAAATTAAGATTCTTGTGTCCAAAAGAAATGTGAAATTAAGAGGAAGATTGGTTAAGGAGGTATGATTGATCTTAATGATATTTTATTTTTATTGATACATCTGATTGCTCATATGATTATGTGTTATAGCTCAAATGTATATGTCGAAATATAAACATATGCCCTTTAGATTTAGAGGCACAGGAGCAATAAACATAAACTGAGGATGGAAAGGACTCCACAAGGAGATTACGATAAATTTAGAGCTAAGAAAAAGAAATTAGATGGATATTTTCCACTAATTCTTATACATGATCAAGATTTGACAAAGGAACATGAATGTCTGTTTATAATACGAAGTAATTTTGTCTCAATTTTCTTTCTTAAATGATAAAGACATAGGAGCTTATATTTCAAATAGTTATAAGGTTTGTCTCTAAAAATTCACAACCTTTTTCAAGTACATAAATTGAGCAAACTTGCAGTAGTTCAAGATAGAAAGAATGGTACATGGATTAACCCCGTGAGAATCAAAAGGTCAAAAAGGTTGAAAATTCTTTCTAGTGCCAAAAGCACTTGAACTAACTATGTACCTAATATAAAAAGAATCTTAATCTAGCAACATCTAGCCACAGGCTTGGACGACGCCTGAGAAATTCGAACTCTCGCGGGGAGACCCCATGTACTTAGCAGGCACACGCCTTAACCACTCGGCCAAAGCGTCCCAGATGATTACGGTTTACACCATTTGAATTATGTTATATAATTATAAATTTCTCAAATTTTTTGTCAATATAAATAAAGTGATTTAGAAAAAATTTCTTCATTGAGCGATTTACTATGTCTTTGATTACTGATTGTTTCGGATTTGTTCTTATTGTGCTTTTATCTTATCGGAACTTTCATATATGATGACAAAGTATACTCATATATGATTTTGAAGATTCATATAAAGTTGAAGATAATATCAATGTAAGGTCTCACGGATGTTTAAAAAACTGCTGATGTTCCACAATTAAATAAATTGTTTTTAGAAGTTTGATTAAAACTAAAAAAAAATTAGTAAGTAAACGGCGGTCTCTTCGACAAACTTCATGCTCATCCATTGGTTTCGGGCCCTAACTCTGTTGATTCGCCGAGCTTTCTCGTACTCTTGCGCTTCTTTCCAAGCTGGAATGTTTTGTTCTCTATTTTTTTCTCCTCCACAGGTAGCTCCTCCTTCGCACCTGTTCGAGGCTGTCCTCTCTTTCTTTGTACAGGGACAGGATTCCACGCCGAGCTCTCGAGCACCTCTTTGAGACTCGCGACAGGCAGTTTCTTCGTCAAAACTTTAGCCCGCCCCATCTGGTGACCCACGTTAACAACACACCATGGCAATCTTAAGACCTCGGACATTACAAAACAACTCAGAAAACAAACGCAGGCACTCAGTCCTCGAGTCAACCACAACGATAATGGTATGCAAGCGCCTTACAACACGAAGCAGCGTGAACACCCCAACAACCCGAAAGAATGAGGAGTTTATGAGCAGGAGAAATTTGATTCTCTATCGCACCCAAGCTGTCCACCACGCGACACCCGCTGATAATCGTCCCCTCTCAGCAGCGCGTCCGCTCGCGCCCGGCAGGAACCCAGACGCGTACGAGCGATTGCCTTGCCCCCATGGGAACGGTCTGCAGTCAGTCAGCGGGGCCGCACGCACGGTCGCCTAGGACCCCGTCCTTCGAGAAGGGCGCTAGCGAGCCAGGGGCACGGACGAGTCCACAGCAGGTTCAACAAGCTTCTCATCAGCTGCCCGTCATTCTCGCCTAGCCCAACACCGGCTGCCACCATCGTGACATCGAAGTTAAAAATCATCGACATATTCACGATGCAGACAACATAGCTGATCAACACAGGACGGACAGCTGATGAGTAGCTTGGTCAACGTGCTCAAGCTCCGCAGTACATGGCCGAGCGGGGAGGATCGACATTCCCTGCAAAGACGTTCGAGCTGGGCCTTCGGATGGAGCACATGGACGGGACAGTTTTCATTTTGCGGGTCAATCATTGCCGATGTTCTCCTCAATCTTCTTCACAGTCTCAGGCTTGAGCTGTGATACGCGTTCAACATAACAAACCGTAAGCAAAGCCAACGCAGCAGCAAAATGCAGTCACAACAATGGCCAAGGATGTTTTCATTAATCAAGAAATGGCGAGAATGGCGAGAATAAACGAGAATGGCGCATGATTGCCGCCCGCTCTGCCTGAACTACCAAAGGCCGAGCCTGCTGCGCACGGACCCTGCCTTGTGCCAGAGCTACCCCAAATAGCAGACGTTGATCACGACAGACCACGTACTTGATCAACACAGAACGTGAGGTTCATTACAGAGAATTTTCAAAGAAAAGCAGGCGCAGTGTCATACTGTCAAACCCATCAGCCATTACATGCAAGCGCCAGCACTATTTTTCAGCAGCTCGTAACGCTAACCTAATTCTCTCTTAACCCTCTCAGATCTTCGCGCCTAATCTCAGCGGCCAATAGTTATTATCATTAGTAGTTTAAATTTATTTTTGATTTTGTTTTACATTATTTATTTGAAGGAAAAACCTGAAATCTACTGATTGAGGAAAGACATGTTATCTTCAGGGTTGAGTGCAGAGTTCTAATCTCAGCAGCCAATAGTTATTATTATTAGTAGTTTAAATATATTTTTTGATTTTATTTTACATTATTTATTTGAAGGAAAAACCTGAAATCTACTGATTGAGGAAAGGCATGTTATCTTCAGGGTTGAGTGCAGAGTTTCAAGTTCCAGCCGCCTATCATAGTTTTGGGTAGAGTTATCTGGCGCATTCCTCGGCACCTATTTCTCGGCTCGCGAGGGGACGCGCTTCTCACGGTGTCTCGAACCCTGATTGAGTGCAGACCGTCCACCGAACTCCTGTAGATTCCCGTCGAGCGCAAGGGATCGCGCTTCTCACGGTGTCTCGAACTCTGACTGAATGCAGACCGTCCCCACGGGCGCAAGGTGATCTCTCGGACGCGTCTAGATTCCTGCCTGGCAAGAGCGGACGTGCTGCTGAGAGGGGACGATTATCAGCGGGTGTCGCGTGGACAGCTTGGGTGTGATAGAGAATCACATTTCTCCTGCTCACAAACTCCTCATTCTTTCGGGTTGGTGGGCTATTAACGCTGCTTCGTGTTTTAGAGCGCTTGCATATCATTATCGTTGTGGTTGACTTGAGGATTGATTGCCTGCGTCTGTTTTCTGAGTTGCTGTGTAATGTCGGAGGTCTTAAGATTGCCATGGTGTGTTCTGTTGCTGACGGGGGTCACCTGATGGGGCGGGCTAAAGTTTTGACGAAGAAACTGACTGTCGCGACTCTCAAAGAGATGCTCCAGAGCAAGGCATGGAATTCTGTCCCTGTACAAAGAAGAGAGGCAGCCCTCGAAAAGTTCCGAAGGGGTAGCTACCTGTGGAGGAGAAAAAGTGGAGGAAGAAATATCATCAACAATCAAATCAAATGATGATGTATGGCTCGAACTGTTATATAGAATTAAAACAATGTGTGTTAAAATACAATGTGATAACTAAAAGTGAGTTTACATATTTAATACTGGAGGATTCAATCAATCGTCAGATATTGATGTACAGATAGTCATTTTTGTTGTCAAATAGTCACATGAAAAACATATTATAAAATATCTTTATACAATAACTTTATGCAATATCTGGTCGAATCGATAGAGAATTTTCTCTTAGATTTTGGAATAAATCAGAAATATGAGTTGATGATTTATGATAATGATTGCTAACACGAAGTTGGTCATGTTATCGAAATAGAATCAGGTAATTACTATAACATATTTTAGAATTTAAATTAAATAATATCAAAATTATGTGAAAATTATGCAATAATATTTTACTTTTTTTTCGTAGAATGTGAGATGGATTCATTATATATTTTCGGGATACCATTCTTAGGTTCAGACTTATCATAAACATGTGAATATAAATAGCAGAGTAAAATGTGAAAGGAAATCATGTGATAAATATATCACAAAGCAAAACAGGCTTCATATACTTCAAAGTCATATATTAATGAAAATTAATATATGACTTTGAAGTATTATTATTGTTAGTATTATTATTAGTATTATATTAAATTTTCTAATGGAAAAATGGATTAACATGTTTTTTCCAAATAACATGATCTTGCAAAAAACTTGCAAAACCTCTGGACAATATGGTCATTTTTTACCCTGTTTTTTAATAAATATTTTCAAATGCATTTAATAAGTTTGGAACTTCACACGTCACCATCTGAAATCACCAATTTCTATAAAAGTTGAAAATATTTGAAGCTGAACATCTATGCTTTATCCAAATTTAGCAATAACTTGATATGAGTATTGCACCACGCACTTTTTTTTATAAAGAAGTTTCAACTGGAAGTTTGCATATGCAGACTAATACCGTACGAAATTCTCTCTCCAGTTCAAGTGAGCTCTCAAAAATTCGCTCACAAAGCTCTCAGAACTCAACAGATTTCAAGGTCATTCTCTACACAGTGCAGAGATATGGCAGATTTATGAAAATCTGGATCATCTTCGGATAACCCTGTGGGATTGGTCATACGAAGGCTAAAGAAGCAGGATATTGTCTTTGTAAATGAACAGACTGTTATATGACAACATAGGATGGTGTGATCATTGTCTCTAACGTGATCATTGTCATTAGACTTTCACGTAGAGAGTTAGTGATTGACTGCATGAATCTTGAGCAATATAAGATCGACAACCCAGCACAATTTCTTGGTCCACGCATCAGGCACTACTAGTCCTCCAGGACCGAGTGTCATCATGAAGCGTAATTGGTCTAGTGTGGTGAAGAAAATGAAATAACTACCGAATTGTCAACCCACCCTGACTCTAAGGTCACACTCACCATAATACTCTCACTTACTCCCGGACTGCCAACCCTGACTCTCAACTGCCTTCAGTCTCAGACCACGCCTACCGATGTACTCTTGTCCATCTGAGTCCTATTCGGGCCCTTATAAATATCGTACTTTCACCATATGCATCATCGAAGAGCAAGAATCAACTTGAACAGCAGGAAGCAGCTGGAAACAACGCATAAGTTTATTACAAAGGACAGATCCAGTTGAGCATTGTTTGAAGAGAATGACGAAGCATCCATCTGTGATGTCGTTTCCAGCGAAGTTGCTGAGTTTCATGTTCTTATCGGCGATATGTTTACCTTCGGTGCTCGGAGGTCGTTCGTTCCTTCAATCGCTGCCGCCTGTCCCATCTCTTCCATCGCTGCCTCCTCTCCCAACTCTTTCCGTTCATCTTCCTTCGTTGCCGCCTCTTCCAACTCATCTCCCGACGCTGCCGCCTCTTCCAACTCATCTCCCGACGCTGCCACCTCTTCCAAGCCTGCCACCTCTGCCCACTCTGCCCACTCATCTTCCAACGCTACCACCTCTCCCAGCCCATCTTCCGAGCCTTCCTCCTCTCTCCACTGTTCTCTCTGATATCCCAAAGCCTCCTCCGTTCCCCCATGTTCCTTCCCATGGCTCAGCGCCATCTCCTTCTCATTCGATTTCCCCTTCTGCTCCTGACTCTAAAGCACCGTCTCCAGCTCATTCATCTTGATTTGAGTCGAGCTTCAGCCGTTCTACTCTTGGCAGGGTCAGACAATACTAAGACTCATCGCTCACCTTCCGGCAACTGTCAACCGGTGATCCTCCCTACCTTCTGATTTTACAGGAACAAATTCCACTTGATAACTTCTCGCAGCCATCTTGGTCAATCTCGTCTGCCGTGGATTGCTCTCTTCGAATAGGAAGTGTCAGCCGTCTCCAACAATGAACGTTTCTCTGGAAGGACTCTGGGAAGACAATACTATCACTCTGGGAATTTCATTCATGTGCTGATATATTTCCACTTCTGCACGTGTATAGGCACTACACTTATCACTGGTCGTTCAAGGCATCCAGCATGGAGTGCATTCGAAGCTGGCTGTACATCGTGCGAACACCCGTGTCGCAGAATGTACATCCTGCGCTTCGCTTACTCTACTTATGGACCTGATCCGAGGCAAACCTCACATAATCTCCAACAAACACTGCGACATCATGTGCCTGCATAAGTATAATAAATCTAAGGGCGAAGTGAAGCAGCAAACAATACGGAGAAGAGTACAAAGCGGAGGTTGCCATTGTTTTTTAGATCAAATAATAAAGACCACATTGTACTTTGAAATTTCTATTGATTTTCTACATGCTGTTGTGCGTTTAGCTAAATTTCTTGACTGAAGCACACCGCATAACTGGTTTGAGGATGAAGCAAGAAGATCGTCTGGAAATTTTCACTCTGAAGAAGATCACTTGAACTCTTTTTTGGTACAGTACGTTTTGCACTGGAACTGTAAGATCTGAGAGCTACTAATCGATCCATTCCATTTCCAGTGACATCGATATGAATACGAGAAATGAGCATTGAACCGTACATTGCCTTTTTTAAGTGGTTAGCGTATGAGAACTCATACGCTAGATTGCAACACAATTGCCAATTTCTACAGGATAGGAAATTGAGAGTGGTGTAATTTCTCCCATTAGCACAAGACTCGGTCCCACCTTCATGTATTAGGCGATCCACCGATTGTTTTCGTTTTATATATGAACAATCTAATGATTCATCCAGCAGATGACACTACTTCACTAATGCTTGGCATGATAAAAATATCATCTGGACATGGATAATTTTTAAAAATTAGCAGTGTCCTTCTATCTTCTCTCAACTCCTTGTTTGATAAGCCATAAGATAATTGAGTAAAATGTGCCACTGATGAATCAAGGCATTCAACTATTTGTCCACTGGAATTTCAGATTCTTCTGTTCAAATTATCATAAGAGTTTTCTCAATTGGGCACAGAGAGTTAAAAGCTCAAGAAACTCTAATCTCTTTGTCGGGCTCATAAACTATATTTCTATTTTAAAAAATGACCTCATTTCACCAAGTATATAAAAATTTCTAGAGTTGAAATGGTAATACAAATATCCAAAACTCATACCTTCGTATCAAAACGGAATATCATCAACAGTTTTTAGAATCATCCATGACACTGAAAATACCATATAGGTTTTTACCCATAAAAAAATTAATCAATTCTCATGACATCCACGCATGGTTTCGTCCTATTGTCTTTCATTAATGGTGACGTAGAACTCGTCGTTGTAAATGAACCGTCAAGATGGCCGGCTGGTCTCTGTGAAGGGTCCTGCGGACAAAATAATCTGCACAGTAAGAGTACGACGAATGTCCAGGTTTGAGTCTAATCTTCGTTTGGACGTGAGAAAGGGGAAATCTTTTACATGCGGTCTCCCTTTTTGTCCCAGGCCATAAAACCAACCAGCATCGTCCTCAGATATGGCATCCTATTGGACCAGATGAATGAAACGGAATCGACTTCAGTCTGAAAATCTGTCATAGAGCCAGCTACAACTAATACATGATCCATCACCAGCTTGACTGACCCTTCAAAAACGCGCTCTATGTCTTTCTCAGATTTCAAAATATTTCAAGCTCGTCTTCTCTAACGTGCATGGATATCGCACGTTTGTGAGTTTCTGGATCATTCCTGTGCGGTTGGCCACTGAAGCCTCTATTGACGGAATTTTGTCTTCTAGAGATGAGCTGACTATAATTCACCATGGAACATATGATGATATGATGAAAATACACTCTTACGTCATTATTGACATTTGACTTTGACAAAGAGAGTCGATGATTTGATTTCATCCAGCAACAATTGATGGAAAAGACTGCATGTCCATGGAGCAATATAGAAACAATAATCCAGTACGACTCCAAATGATCATTCCTTTGGTCTGCAGACTCAAGCACTAGATTTCCTGAGGAACCAAATATCATTGAACAGAGCACATGAAAATGGGTAAATGTGATCACTACCGAACTGCCAACCCAGCCTGACACTCAGGTCACACTCACCATCATACTCTCACTTACTCCCGAACTGCCAACCAGCCCTGAGTCTCAGATCACGCCTGCCCGTTGTACTCGTCGATCTGAATCCTAATCGGGCCCTTATAAATATCGTACTTTCACCATATGCGTCATCGGCATCGAAGGGCAAGAATCAACTTGAAGAGCACGAAGCAGCTGGAAACAAAGCAGAAGTTCATTAGAAAGGACAGATCCAGTTCAGCATACTGTGAAGAGAATGACGAAGCATCCATCTGTGATGGCGTTGCCAGCGAAGTTGCTAAGTTTCATGTTCTTATCGGCGATATGTTTACCTTCAGTGCTGGGAGGTCGTCCTTTCCTTCCATCGCTGCCGCCTCTCCCATCGCTTCCTACTCGATTTCCATCGCTGCCTCCTCTCCCAACTCTTTCCGTTCATCTTCCTTCGTTGCCTCCTCTTCCAACTCATCTCCCGACGCTGCCGCCTCTTCCAAGCCTGCCACCTCTGCCCACTCTTCCTCCTACTCATCTTCCAACGCTGCCACCTCTCCCAGCCCATCTTCCGAGCCTTCCTCCTCTCTCCACTGTTCTTTCTAATCTCCCAAAGCCTCCTCCGTTTCCCCATGTTCCTTTCCATGGCTCAGCGCCATCTCCTCTTCATTCTATGTCCTCTTCTCCTCCTCACTCTAAATCACCGTCTCCAGCTCATTCATCTTAGTCTGAATTAAACTCTCACCAGTAGACTCTTGGCACGGTCAAACAACATTGGGACACACCGCCATCTTTCAGCAAGGGGTGATCTACCTGTCTTCTGGTTTTACTGCAACAATATCTACTTCATAGCCTTTGGACACCATCTTCGTCCGTTTAGTTTCTCGTGGACTGCTCGCTTCGAACACAAAAGTGCCTGCCGTCTCCAACACCTGCCGTTTCCATGGAGAGACTCTAGGACGACAATGATTTGGGGGTTTTGTTTCACGTGCCGATGTATCCCACTGCAATATGTGTCCTACACATTTCACTGCTCGTTCGAGGCACCCAGCATGCAATGTATTCGAAGCACGCTGCACATTGCCGACACTCGTGTTAGCAGGATGTAGACCAGCGCCTACTCTACCTCTCGGGACTTGGTCAGAGGCAAACTTCAGTCCTTTGCAGACAAAGAGTGCAACACCATGTGCCTGCAAATTTGTAATAAGTGAAAATGAAATAATATGTCCTCTGAAGAAAAGTATGAACTGTCCGGTACCATATTTTATCAAGCAATAAAGGCCACAATGTTTTTTGGAATTCCTTCTGATGTTCGTACATGCTGTATACACTCTTGTCGATTCCATTCGAGTCTTGTGCAGTGAACGTTGAATTTCTAGACTGAAGCACTCCATAGCTGTATTGTGGTTGAAGCGACAAGAAATCTCCTCATCTCTTAACGGAAAAGTGGCCCATTTAACTGGTAGCAGAAGCACTGAATCTTGCAAATCGATACACTCCGATTCCAGTGACAAGAATATCAAAATTAAAACGACCAGTGAACAAATCAATGTAGTTGAATAGTGAGGCCACTTTTTAATTGCGTATCAGATGTTTAGTGTTACATATTTATTTAAGAACAAGGAACAGTTTCTAATAGCAGTTTTAACGTCGTAAGTAAATTGCATATCAGATGCAATTCAGTTTCTGTGAAGCGTTGGAGACGTATAAAATCTTTCCATCTAATTTTCTGAGGTTTCAATGGTCGATGTTTAGTTTCTGAATTTACAGTTCTGACTACGCAGTTGCCTTGAGTGGTATGACTGCCAACGATCAACGCATTCAGCTTGAACAATTATGGTGGTATCAGGGATGAAGTTCAAACTCACGATTCTATCATTTCGTTGTTTTGCTCTTTGTTTCTGCTAATGTGTTTTCTAGTGGATACGTAAACGTCTAATGCAGGAACGGTTTATGACCAATTGCAGAACTGAGAGAAGTAGGACATTGTAATGATTCACTCATTCGAAATATTCAGATTCATGTAGAATGATCTGATCCCATTCAAGTGAGAACTGATGGGCTACATGTGTGTACTTAGAAAAAATTCTATGCCATTTTTCCAGAGCAAGCTGATGTCAATTTGAAAAGACAAGTGGAGGTAGGTCCGTGAGATAGTATGAGTCCCAAGTTTTCTTGCAGTGTACCGTCCTTGCATGCATTGCATCGTGTCAGAAGATAATTCTGACACGATGCAATTTACAAGTCTCTTGCAATTTAAGCATGATTGAAGTTGTCAACTATATTATAAAAATATGATTGAAGATGAACGCTGATGAATCCTTTAGTTCTTGGTGTTATCATACGAGGGCGCCACGTACAGGTCCATTCACTGCTCTGATGAGCAGAAAAACGCGTAGCTTACGACTGCCCTGCCAACCCGTCTTGAGTCTCACATTATGCTCACCACAATACTCTCAGAGAGATCTGAGCTTAAATCCAGCCAGTGTATATATATCCCCTTCCATCATATCTGTCATGAGCATGCACAGCAAGAAGTAGTTGCAAGTACAGTGGACCACATCACAAAGGGTAGAGCAACTTGAACGCACTGACAATTAATGACTACGTGTTGGTCTCTGATAGTATTTCTAATGAAACTGATGTGTTTCATGACCTTGACAGCATTATGTATTCTAAATCATCCTCTGGAATCATATAACTGTCAAAAGTTAGTGACTGTTCATCAGAACTGTTATAGTCTGAATACTCATAAGTCCAATACCATTGATGTCCAATAGCTTACCTTCGGTGCAGGGAACTCATACAATTGTTGATTGCCCAGATCTTTCACCGCTCCCAAGCCTTCCTACGGAAATCCAGTAAAAATGATTAAAACCATACGCTGAACAAGCTTGAGAAGCTCAGTAGGGTCACCATTTTCGATTTGAGTAAAGCAGCACATTCTTCTGTGTATAGGAAAATTGAACTGACTTAGATGGAGCTCCACAACCAAATTTGAGCAAATCACATTGGAATTACAGTTGGACCAACAGGTATTCACCCTTCCTCGTTCCTGTTTATGGGAGGTAAGTATATACATGACTTTGTTGTGACTTTGTTCTAATTCATTGTTGTTCACATAATTATCTATGTTAGATTTCATTTTAGAATTTGTCATGAAATAATCATTCATTCTATAGAATATATATCTCTCAAGAAATGAACCACGGGGAATATGTTTTTGAGTTTTGTGTTTTGAGCTTGCTTTATTTTAGTTTGAACGATTTTGGTAAACTAGACTAGGTGAAATATCACTGTATCTAACAACTAGCAAAAGTTTTATACGACAGATTGAATTTTGAGTAAATTGATAATATGCTGGATAGTGCGTCTTGGTAATAAGTCAAATTTAAACTTTCATAACTTGGTTTGCGAGTATAAACTTATACTTCCAAACAAATCTTCCAAAAAAGCTGATATTCAGAAATCCACTTCTTATTATAATTTACTAGAAATGTTATGTGCTTTAAAAGTGTAAGTCCAAGAATGGCTCCAGCGGTGAAGTTGCTAAACTATTATATGCACACATTTTAATACTTTGTTCTTGTAGTCTAAGATATATATATATTATACTTTTAAACTGTATAAATCTAGATGTTAATATTGAACATGTTCATGAGATCGCGCCAAAGCCTACCATATTATATGCATGAAGTTCCATTCTCCTGTAGTGATGGCAAATTGTGTTATTCCATTCATCTATGAAGAAAAGTAGCTGGTGATACATTTAAGTCATAGGGGTGATACTTTCATTTGCATGAAGGAACCCCCGATAGGGGATAAAGAATCAAAACCTTTGCTTTGTTCCACACAGTTTTGGTTTCGTGTTTTGGCGGGAGTCGGTTTCCAACCCACAACAAACAAATAAGATAAACCTTAACTGCAGGAACAATTTTATTGCGTATGCAAACATGTACTCAGTGTGAAATTCGTGCACAGTGTAGATGGCTATCTCAAAGATAAGAGAATATCTTAATAGCTTTCTGATCTTCTACATGCAAAGCATGCGAATGCTTAGATAAACATGTACAAAAGGTCTCAACCGAATCATGCAGTATAATCCATGCTCTTTCATGTACCACAATCACCTGCAGAGGACTTCTTCTTCTATATGCCCGTTCCTCTCTAGAATCATGCTCCAAACGAATTCACTTCACGAGCAAAAGTGGATTGTTTATTATAGATAGGAACTTATGAGCATTCACAGTCGTCTTCGTCATGAGCACATCAGGAACTTTCAAAAGCCTCATCAAAGAGTTTTCCTTTTAAACAGTAACACGAGAGAGACGAGTCTCATTATCAGTTGCAGCCTCAAGAAACACCTGCGTTACGTTTCGTCGTGATTGTTTAAAGTGAAACGATGATACACATGGCCATCCTAGTAGTGTTGTTCAGGTTGCTGTCATCCACGTTAGATGGTACTACTTTGTGTAAGCTACAGGGATGAGTGCGGACTCGTTAGCCCACATGCTTTGAAGAGAAACTTGTCGACTTGAATACGTGCCCGTGCAACCAATGCCATCGGAAACATGCCCTCCATTTTTAACACTCTGAAGGTAACAGTGTTAAGAATCTGATAACAAAATCCAGAAATCCACATGCAATCAAAGCGAAGAAGGTGGGCTTCCAAGATGGTGAGCTGATCCTACTATATAACTCGTGCTCATCGATCACAATAACTTATTTACGATACAATTCGATTACAAAGCGTTTCACGACTTGTTCTCGGATAAGTAAACAGGAATGATTTGACGGTAAAGCGTGTAGTATCAAGTGACTGATAATGTGGAATCCAATGATGATGGATTTGTCTTCTTGTCTATGTGAGTGTGAGAGGTAGACAGAGTAAAATCTGCAGTGATTATGCTTTTGAAGCCTGACACACTGAATATAACTCTCTGGCTAATCTATTACAACACGCATCTTGCTACAGAATTGCTAACTGCATGTTGCCGTTCACGAAGTGGCAACTGTTTACGTCCAACATATCGTAGAACGTCATGCGAATGGGCCCGCATTAAATGACATGACCTTGGAACCAGCCGTCACCAAAGACCTCCCCAAGCCTATAACGCTTCTCCCAAGACAAGTGCCAGGAAATATAGCCTTGAATGTACTGAGCAACGGTTCTCTTGACCTCGAGAGAATTCGTCCTCTCCGCTGTGGCCATTACATTCTTCCGGATCTCCACCATCTGGTTCATGAGACCATCGAGGACTTCGAATAGGGTGATGTTCTCAGCTTTGGCAACGGTGAAAACGTAACCCACGTATTCCTCCTCGTACTCCTTGTAAAAAGACAGAACATCGTTGAGGTGGTCGGAGACTGTAATCAGCTCTGGGAGCATCGGATACATCTTGTTGTAGAAGAATAGGCGATCTGAGCTTCCATCTTCGGAAGCATAGTTTTCTGGAACCAGATGAGGCCCAACAAGGACGAAGAGAACAAACACTTCAGACCCTCCAGATTTTTGTCGTAGAAATAGAGGAAGGTGAGGCGTGTCAGCCTGGATCTCAAACCCACTCTCGCTGTACTCGTACTCCAACTGACACGCTTCAAGGAATTGCAGGGTTCCTGCCACAAGCGTCTTGTGATGTCGTGGCTGCGATGGAAAAAATGGATTCAGGTCTGTCAGCAGGATCACGATCATTTCCTCGAAAAGAGGGTGCAAAGGTCCACGAGTCGGATGTAGTTTCTTGTACAATTCAGGATTGAGGAGCTTGAGATGAAATAATTCACAGTCTTCTTTCGTGCGAGCTCCACCATCAGGCATCGAGCGCATGGTAGCACTGCGAAACAGATTGTCAATCTCTGTGGCCACAATGGTGAAATGGGCAACTTTGACTTTGTGCTCGAACGTATGGTGCCTACACGTGAAGTCCGCATATGCACAGCATCCTCTGATCATATCGACTCTTGCTGATTGCAATTTTCGCAGGCTGCACACAGCGTCGTAAATCTGATCCAACAGTTCATGACTTGCACATTCTTTGGTGTTCTTGAAGCACATGTCTTCCAGGAACTTCGAGCATTTGTTGCGGAACTTGTCTCTGAAGACGATCTCCTCGTTCCCGGCACCACAGCTCGCCATGCTCGACTCTGATCGCTGCCTCTCCTCTAAACAGAAATCAAATGGCCGGGTAGTATAGTTCAAGCAGCACCACTTTATAGCACGGGGATAGATATCCCCTGCTCTATGAAGTTATCTTACCTCTTCTCAGAAATGTTTTTTATCAGCATCTGCAGACTTTCAGTAAGTA